AAACTGGGAGGAGTGAGGGGCAGCCCGGAGCCGCCCCTCGACACAGGGGACACAAGAAGGTCCGGGTCCCGAAGGAAGGGGAGGGAGAGACCGGGGAAGACCAGAGACAAGGACACGGGAAGCCATGCCCCGAAGACGAAGCAAGGAGGGGTGGCCAAGACGGTGGTGCCACAGGAGAGTCTCGTGAGACAGGCGGCGACACGAGCAGGGGGCAGACTCAGGACCAGACCTGGACGCAGCAGCAAACACCTGACCCGACGCAGCTACCTGGCCAGACGCAGGGACAGGAGGAGACGCAGTGGTCAGTGTGTAGAGACTCGACCCTGGCCGACGCGAGAACGTGGCCAGGTGTCGGCCTGTGCGGGCATCCGAGCAGTGGGTCACCCGCTGACTCGCAGGAGTAAACTGGTGAACCCCCGCATCCTGCAGGTCAGCACCACTCACCAAGTTCGTCGAGAACGAGGGGAGGTACAGACCAGACAAGGTGCCCGAGGGGGCAGCCGGACACGGGAGGACAGTGGAGAAGTGAGAGAGGACAGGACCCCCAGAGGGGTCAGCCAGGGAGACTGCAACCGGCCGGCCAAGCGGCGTGAGTGTGGTGCGGTCTCGAAAGAAGGAGCGAGAAGCCCCTGAGTCAAGTGTGAAGGTGAGGGAGGCCGAAGCCGACGCAGTACCTGAGAGCGCAGCCTCACCAGTACCTGAGAGTGCAGACGCACTGGCACCTAGAGCAGCAGCCGCAGAAGTACCTGGCGCAGTAGTACCAATGCCCGGGTCGGGCGGGAGACACTGGTAACAGTCACCCTCCTCACTAATAGTCACAGCATACATGGCAGCAAGGATAGCATCAAAGTCAAGATCAAAGACAGCTACGCCAGCCCTAGACAGCTCTCCCCAACGGGGAATCTCACTGGCCTCGGGGAACTGCTGACGCCAAGCGTCCGTCAGGCGGGCAAAGCAGCGCTGGGTGGTGTGGGCACCCCCACACTGCTCACCCGCGCGGTCGCCGGAACGAAGGACGTAGGTGCACGGACCAAAACCCCCACCCCGCTGACGCTGCGTGTACCACTCACGGAGCTGCTGGGGCGGGGGGATGTCCCGCGAACGCTGCTGCTGCTGCTGCTGCTGCTGCTGACGCTGGCCACCACCAGGGCCGCTACGCTGCGGGGCACCACCCCGACCAGCTCCACCCCCTCCGCCACCGCTGCCTCCACCTCCACCACCACCGCTGCCTCCGCTCCCACCGCTGCCGCCACCGCCGCCTCCTCCTCCGCTGCTGCCACCTCCACCACCGCCCCCGCCACCACTCCCACCGCCACCCCCACTCCCTCCTCCGCCTCCACCGCCTCCTCCACCGCCCCCGCCAGCTCCACCCGCGCCCTTGCCCCCCTTGCCCCTGCCAGGGCGGCGTCTCCCGCTAGGGGCAGACGCCGCGCAGACCGACTCAAGACCAAGCAGGTCGGCAGCAGCAGCAGAGGCAACAGAGGGCAGCAGGGGGGAAGGAGAACACCCCTCAAAGATGGGGGTGCGAGGGTCACCACGAGAGGCTCCTACAGCGACGATGCTCTTCTCCGCCGCCAGGAGGGACTTCTCGAGGAGGTCGACAGTGAGAGTGGTGGGACAGACCGAGAGGTAGTGGTCCCGGACTACGCGAAGGGAGTCAGGGAGGCGTGTGACGATGTAATAGAGAGTGATGTACATGGGGGGGGGGTTCTTGGCGCAGAACTCAGCAGGAAGGGCGGCGCGGTAGCGAGTGTCACTAGTGCGGAGGTGCGTAATGAGGTCAGCGACAGTGGGAAAGGCAGCAAGGTCAGGAAAGAGGTACGGTAGCATGAGGCGGCTCAGGGCAGCAGTGGCAGGGGAAGAGTAGCGCGCAACTACAGCGTCGTACAAGGTCTGAGCACTCTTGTACTGACTAAAGTGCGCGCGCTCAGTGGTAGGCAGGTGGCGACGTACAGCAAGACGTGCAGCAGCATCGCGGGTGGCCCACTGAGAGCGAACAGTGGGGTCAGCATCAGTAGCAGGGGCAGGAGAGGCGCCAGAGGTGAGGTCAAAGAGGGAAAGACCGTCCGCCCTATCGCACTGTAAGAACAGCTGCAGGTCGTCGACCCAGACCTCAAAGTCAATGGCTCGACCCTCAGCGTCAAAAGCGAGGACACTAGGGGTAGCCATGACGACGACAGACGAGCAGTGCAAGCAGTAGGGGAAGGGCACGCAGTGACAGTGGGGCTGTGCTCACCGGACAGGGCAGGTCGGGCGGCCCGGCAGTAGGGCGGCTCGGCTGCTCAGCGGCTCGGCGGCAGTGCGGCTCGGCGCCCGGGCGGCTCGGCGGCAGGGCGGCTCGGCTCCCGGGCGGCTCGGCGGCAGGGCGGCTCGGCTCCCGGGCGGCTCGGCGGCAGGGCGGCTCGGCTCCCGGGCGGCTCGGCGGCAGGGCGGCTCGGCTCCCGGCGGTTCTGCTGCTAGGCGGCTCCCGCAGGTAGGGCGGCGGTTGGGCCGCAGGTAGGGCGGCGGTCGGGCCGTAGGTAGGGCAGCGGGCTGGCCGCAGGTAGGGTGGCGGGCGGGCCGCAGGCAGGGCGGCGGTAGGGCCGCAAGTAGGGCGGCGGGCGGGCCGCAGTTAGGGCGGCGGGCGAGCCGCAGGTAGGGCGGCGAGTAGGCCGCAGGTAGGGCGGCGTGGGGCCGGGACGGGCGGCGCGCGGGCGTCGAGGGGCCGGGACGGGCGGCGCGCGGGCGTCGAGGGGCCGGGACGGGCGGCGCGCGGGCGTCTAGGGGTCGGGCCGGGTGGCGCGCGGGCGTCTAGGGGCCGGGACGGGCGGCGCGTGGGCGTCGAGGGGCCGGGACGGGCGGCGCGCGGGCGTCTAGGGGCCGGGACGGGCGGCGCGCGGGCGTCTAGGGGCCGGGACGGGCGGCTCACGGGCGGCGAGGGGCCGGGACGGGCGGCGCGCGGGCGTCGAGGGGCCGGGACGGGCGGCGCGCGGGCGTCGAGGGGCCGGGACGGGCGGCGCGCGGGCGTCTAGGGGCCGGGACGGGCGGCGCGCGGGCGTCTAGGGGCCGGGACGGGCGGCGCGCGGGCGTCTAGGGGCCGGGCCGGGTGGCGCACTGGCGTCTAGGGGCCGGGACGGGCGGCGCGCGGGCGTCTAAGGGGCCGGGACGGGCGGCGCGCGGGCGTCTAAGGGCCGTGACGGGCGGCTAAAGGGGCCACTAGGGGCCAAGAGAGAGGGGAGCGCGACTCGGGTAGGGGCAGAGTGCGCTCCGGGCAGGAAAAAAAAAACGGTGGGCCCTAGGAACAGTTCCCACGAGGGAACCTGCTCGATACCATGAGAAAAGTAGAACGAGAATGAATGAACTATGAATGAAGTGAGTACATATGGGAAACCCTAATTGGGTTGTACCCCCTATGGGATACCCCACTATAGCCTACACAACAGCATAAGCTATATATATGTTCTGACACGTGGTATGGGCGATGTTCGGCAGCACAGGGGATCCACCGAGGGATGGAGGGGGGGATCGAAATTCTCAGCTAGGGTTTCTAGTTCGGGGTGGTCAACTCGGAGTCAACCAACGTTGACTCCAAGTCGGGGGTCCAGGCGCAAGCGGAACCTTTGGGGGAAAAGGCGCGGATGAGCGACGCGAGAATTGGGGGCCCACGAAACTGCAGCCGCACGAAACGAAACTTCGCGAGCTGAACAATTTTTCTTCTCCCTGCCTCATTTTACTGTTGCGATGGGATTGGGTATATCACTTCACGAAAACATTTAACACCATAAATTTAAATGGATGCCCTAAATGTCGTACTCACCCATTTGATCTTATTGAATACAACTGGATTAGGGATACATTTCCGATTTCCGTTTTACCCACGAGTTTAGAATGTGGGGTAAATTCATAAAACAATTTCGTGGTAGAGGGAATCCATTTTACATCCCTCGTGGGTGAGGCCACTCACGGGAGTGCAATTTGGATTCCCTGGGCACTAGGGCGAATTTTCTCCGCCATGGGGGAGGTTTTGGGGGAGGATGCGGCGCGGGATACAACCAAGCGTGGTGTTCGCGTCGCGTTTTAGGCTTACGTTCGACATTTTTTTCACATTTTTCTAGCCTGACCGAAGTGTTTTGCCTGGTTCGTACTGGTCGAGCCTGGAGGCTCTCCATTTTGATCCCCCATCAAACCCCCTCCCCTGGCTGCCGAACATCGCCGTGGCAACACGAGCAGCCAAGCAAACTCTCCGTGAATTCAGCGGTGGTGCCTAGGAGATTATCGAGGGAACATAGCGTTGGTGTTCCAAGATTTAGAAGTTGTGCTCGTTAGAGAGGTTCTCGTGACTTCTATTTACTAAGTAAAATGTATACCGTTTCCATGTCGTGGTGCAAATCATCTCAGCAAAACTCGTATCCTTGCGCTTTCATTAGGGTGTTATCATCGTGGGATTGTGCTTCATGTAAACACCCTCCGTTCAGTCGGGAGAGCCCCCCCCCCCCCCCCAATTCCACACCAGCATCACATTCAGCCTGCACATTCATTCAAAACTCCTGCACATTCAGCTGACAATGACAATGCAGCCATGGCCATGGCGGCGAGCTTTAACACAGTCCATGTGCATCAATTTCCAGCCTGATCCTGACATTGAGACTCTCGGACGACGCGCGGCTTTAAGCTCTACACAGTTGTGTCTTTTTAGTGTTCATTACGGGAACCTAAACACCACTTATGCGAGTTCCAGGCTGTCGACAGTGTTTCATGCATCTTCAAGGTTATCTAATGCACATGGCTACTATCAAGGTCCCAAGCTCCCAAGAGACTACCATCGAGTTTTGCGCTCGGCAACGTCAACAACTCGCGCTACTTTCAAGGACGACACTTCCTATGTTTCAGCACAACCCAATGCTCCTAACCAACTTGGCTGTCTGGTTTTCCCTAAGGTTATGGCTCCCCTCCCTGGCCTGGACCTGCAGCGTTTCAGTTTCAAACATAAGAAGTATAAACATTCGGATTCATTATCAGCTATGCTCAGTCCGGCTTGTATCTCAGCCTTCAACGGGCGGACAAGCTCTTCTCATCATCGCACCATGGGGAGAGCTCGCAGCAACAAGACTAGCAAGAAGTCAACAGTCACTGACAAGGCTGCCGATATGTCATCCACCGCTACGGTACCTGAGAAGGATGCTGCTGTCAAAGGTCATGCGCCTTCCACCTCCTCATCGCCAGTGGTGCTTGGCCCTTTCGAAGACTTATTGGACCTACAGATCAAGACCGACCTCAATGGCGAACAAGTCGGCGTTGCTGCTGATGGTGCTGCTGACCCCGCTGGAAAGGAGGGTGAAAAAGAGGCCGCTGAAGGAGAGGCTGAAGATGATGCGGACGCGCAGGAGAACAATGATGCCTCGTCAGATCAGGCTCCAGACGATGATGAAGATGGTTACCTGAGCGACGACTCCGACGAACACCTGGAACCAGCTTCGCTCGGCAGCATTATCGCCTTGAAAAGATTCTCACTGACCTTGCTGGTGCCGTTTAACAGGAAACCTGAAGTCAAGCGGACTGCTGTAACTGTGGCTGCCTCGCTGGAAGAATGGAAGGACCAGCTGTCGCCAGATGTGCTGCAGACAACAACTTACCAGGAACTTACGGCGACCTATTTCTCTGGCGCACGCTATGGTCGCCTTCAAGTTACCTTCAACCACGTCCGTGACGCAAACTTTGTTTGGAGCCAAGTCATCAGGCACGAGTGCGCGAATGGCGACATTGTCGACTTTACCTGGCAGCACCCCGAAGATGCGCGTTTCCTCCGCGAGCGCCTGCTGAATCCGACGGCGAAGGAGGTTGTTGTCAAAGGAGTTCCCGCGGACATGACTGCTGAGCTGATTCGTCACCTGCTGGTGGTGTCGAAGCTGGTTAAACGCGGTCGGAGTGCTTTCGCCAGCGGATTCGGTTTTCATCGTACCGTCGATCCGGTCACTGGGCTGGACACCGACCGTATCCGCGGCCTGTTTATCCCCCACGCTGATGATGAATACCGTTGAAGATACTTTGTGGAGGACCCGTCGACTGGCAGGCGCTACATGCTGCACTACCCATCGCTTACCTGCGAGCTCTGCAGCGGCCAGCACCTGTCCCGTTACCACGATCACTATGTCACCTCGAGGCAGGAGAATTTCACCAACTGGAACCTGTCGGTCAAAAAGGTTCATGACATGAACGGTATAAGCAGGACGACTCCCCACGCTCACCTCTCATTTCCGCTGCCTTCGTTTTCCACCCCGCTCAGAGCATGCCTCCCGAATCGTACTGACGACTGTCTCCTCACCTCCTCTCGCAGCGGCTTCCCTGAAAGCCACAGCGTCTCTGACACGCATTCTGAAAGACCCCGCAGTCATACTCACCTCTACAGGAGGTGTGCGGGAGGAGTGGGTGTGCGTACAGACTGTATGCGAGAAGGCTCAAGGGAATCGCTTCGAGCAGGCGGCGACTCATGTCGCTTCTGCCAGGCACAAGGGAGGACTGAAGAAGGAAGGTGCTACAACACGCGCCAGCAAGAACTCTCAGAAAATGGCTGCTTTCAAAAAAGAGTTCATGATCACGCCGGCAAAGAAGTGAGCAGCGGCTTAGTGGATGAGATGACTCTGTGGCTGTTTGGCGCAAGTTGCGTAGTAGGTGTCATGTTCTCCTTTGCTGTAGCTGGATGCATCGTCGCAATAAAGATCAACCGCCCGTGGATGCTGTGGGGCTCAAGGACAGTGGTTAATGGATAAACGCAACAGCTTAACTTTCCTCGAGCTCAACATCAACGGGCTCGGTAGCTGTGGGAAACAAGAGAGATGCGGAAAGTGGATCAGGAAAGCAGCGCATGTAGTCGTACTCACCGACACACGAGTTTCACAAGATCATAACTTCTGGACGCAAGTCAGGTCGGAAGCACAAGCGGTGGTTGGCCCGTCGCAGAGAGCCGGGGGGGTGGCGGTCTTGGGTTTCCTGCCAGGCATGCGGTTCACGGACGTGGTTAAGCATGAGTCCGGCCGTATCATAAGTTTGATGATCGCATGGCGCGATCTGACATGCAGAGTGGTGGCTGTATATTTACCTGCACAAGCACCCGCTACGGGGGTTTTCTTTCGTGACGTACTAACACCCTTTGTGCAGAGCTTGGGTGTCTCTCCGTATACCATACTTCTTGGCGACCTTAACATCGTTGCGGATCCAGAGCTGGACAAATCCTCAAAACTGGGAACACCGGCGGAAAACCAGAGGCTCCTGCAGATTTGCTCGAGATGGGATCTGCATGATGCTTTCCGGAGTCTCCATCCGACCAGGAAGGAGTACACTTTCTTCTCGAGATCTGCAAAAGCAAGCACACGGATTGACAGGGTTTTAGTGTCACACTCTCTTCTCAGCTGTGTAGTGGAGGCGAAACACAGAATGGTCCCATACGGGTTAACAGATCACTGGTTTGCTGTGTCGGTGTCGCTCAAGGCTGCATCGGCAGATGACCATGGTCCAGGGTTGTGGAGGCTTCAGGCACCCCATGCTGGGGGTGAAGGCGTCAGGAACATCATATCGGCGGTACTAGACTCGCAAGCGAATTATCCGGACCAGGGCCTGGAGAGGCTGGTGACGAACCTGCGAGCAAGCATGAGAGCTCATGTAGCGGAGGAGAGGAAAAGGGTTAAGGCGACCATGGTGCACTTGGAGCTGAAGGTGGAAGAGCTCAGATGGAAGGTGATGTCAGACCCTTCGTCGCAGGCTCTGTACGAGGACCTGATAAAAAACGAAGCGGCTCTCAAGCTTTACCAAGACAGTAACAAAGAGCGGCTGCAAGTTCTGACGGGGTTGCTGCAAGAGCTGGCGGGGGAGACTCCATCAGGCTTCCTGTCGGGCTTGGTCAAGTCCAGGAAGGCGAAAACTGAGATAGCGGAACTTACTTTCAAAGGGGTGCTGAGGAAGGGTGCAAGCAAGGCGCTGCAAGCGGCCTCGGAACATTTCCGAGAAGCCTACGCGCTGTCGCCGTCGTCCGATCCTGTGGAGCCGTGGCCGATTGAAGAGGGAAAGACGCTGCAGGAGAGTGATCGCTTACAGCTGGACAGTGAATGGTCGGAGCAGGAGGTGAAGGCCGCGCTTAAAGGCTTGCCGGTGGGGAAGGCCCCGGGGCACGACGGCTTGCCGAAAGAATTTTTCGAAAGAAATTGGGAGCTGTTGGGCCCGGCGGTGATGAGGGAAGTCAGGATTTTCGAATCAGCGGGTGTGCTTTCGGAGTCCTTCACGACGGCGGTTACGATACTTCTGCACAAAAAAGGAGACAGGGATGATTTGGGAAATTACCGGCCGATTACATTATTGAGCTTCTTCTACAAACTACTGGCGAAGGTTTTGGGGAATCGTATCAAGGTGGTCTTACCGAGAGTGATCTCCAGCAATCAGTTCGGTTTTCTTCCGGGAAGGAGCCTCACTGACGCTGTCTCTCTGGTAGCGGATGCGATCGACGCTGCGGAGCAGGAGGACGAGGATTGGTTGCTGTTGTTGGTCGATTTTCAGAAAGCTTACGATTCGGTATCACGGGAATACCTCTTCACGACGCTGGACAACATGGGCTTCCTGGGGAAGTTCGTTAGCACTTTCAACTCTGGTAATCTGGCGCGACGTGGTTCGTAACCATCGCGAATCTCGCAGCTTCTTCGAAGAACACACGATTGGAGAAACGTGCTCGGGGATAGTCGAATGCGAGGTCGACCCTAGTTCAGTGTCCTTCTGTTTCAGCAACTTTGAGCTTGGACACACGTTCGTCGTCAATAGCTCTGTACGAAATTGGCGAAGCTGGTTACCAGCAAAAGTTCGACCTTTTTTTCGAACTTCTACACCAAAAGACACGCGCCCTAATCCAGTCAAATCAGTAAATTTCGCTACCCTGATATGATATGTCTCGCTACAGTTTCGTGGAATTTGAGCTTTCTGCACTAGGGGGGGTCTAATCCTGAATGCATTACAAAAAGGGGGGTCTAATAGCATTAGACCCGCCCCCATTTAACGACCCGGGGGGCTATAATTTTGGGGGGTCCATTAGCCGGGTAAATACGGTACGTATTTCCCTTTCGTAAGAAATCCAACTGCTTGTTATGAAAGTAAAATACATTTTTAGTACATCCTAGAGTGCCCTTTAGTGTCAAAATCCCAGCTCCAATAAGCACATCCTCCCTCCATTTGGAAACAGATCTTTGGCCAGTACATTATCCTTGCTCCCTTTTCCCTTAGTAAACACCACTCTGGCCAGCAGTTGACCTCCGGTCCCCTTTTCCCCCTGGAAAACAGCCCTTAGGCCCAAAACAGATCCCTCAGTCCCTTACCCCCATGGGGAACGGCCACAAGCAAGATAAAATTAACACGAGTTACACAAATTGCACCCACGCTAAGACAAACAAAAAACCTACCGACACTACGGTACTTCCCAATCTCATTCCCCTTGGCTCCATCTGACAATTACAACCTGCTTCCCTTGGTTCTTCCGGTCAATGACATTCTCCTCCCCCCTTCACCTCACCACTTCCACCAAGCTATTTCTCCTCTTCCTCGTCCTCATCACTCGACCCCCAGCCCTCCTCATCTATGTACCTGTCATCCTCACTGTCCCTGCCATGATCATGTATGATATGCAACTCCTCAAAATCACTCTCTGCATCCTCCTCTGCCTTGCTGTCCGCCTCATTCCCTTCCACTGCTACATCTCCTCCCTCCTCACTCTCTACCTCCTCCCCTCCTTCCTCCTCTCCCCCTTCCCCTACCGCATCTCCACCCTCCTCACCCTCTCCCTCCTCCCCTCCATCCTCCTCTCCTTCACCAACCGCCACTCCCTCTCCCTCCTCCCCATCCCCCTCTTGTACCCTTGCAGGGGCCCTCCTGTCGTCTCGACAAGGGAGCAAAGGGCACTCCCTGACATCATACTCACGCAACGTTGCCATTCTCTCGAGACAGGACGGCAGCTGAGCCAGCTTGTGGCACGCAATCACCCGCAGCACCTGCAGCTTGGGCAGCCTAGAGAGCGACTCTGGCAAGCTGCGCACGTGCTTCAGCCCCAGGAGCACCAGCTTTTGGAGGGACGACAGCTTCCAGAAGTCAACTGGAAACGTTGAGATCCGAAGCTTGGTGAGGATACATAACTGTAACTTGGACAGATTCGAGAAAGAACTTGGAAGCTTCATCAGCTTGTAGCAGTCAATGATCTCCAGCGTCTCAAGCATTTTCATCTGCCCGAAAGACTCGGGCAGCTGCCATAACGCAATGAGGTAAACCAGCTTCAATGCCCGCAGACCTGACAGCCCGCCGAAGGATGGCCGAATCGATCCGGGGTCTTCTCAGGTGCGAGAGTTGAGACATTGACTCGGGGAGTGACACAAGGGAGTGCAGCTGGAGGAGCTTGAGCTTCGTTAGAGAGGAGAGCTGGCCAAGGGACGGGCCAAGGGCGTGGCAACAGAACGACTTCATCTTGAGACTCGTGAGGGATGGAAGCAGTGCCCTGCTGTCGCTGTTGCTGCTGATGCTGCTGCTGCTCATGCCGGTGCTGCTGGTGCGGGTGCTGGTGAAGTGTACCAAAGGGTCACTGGGGGTGCGATCGGCCACCACCTCATCCCCTAGCAGCGCGCCAACCCCACAGCATGCCCGCACCTCCAGCACGCGCAGGCGCGGCAGCCTAACCAGCGACCCAGGGAGATCCCTCAAGCCGTCCATCCGTGCGATCTTGACCACCTCGAGCGCCTCCAGCCGTCCAATTCCCTCTGGCAGGACCGTTACTTTAGGGCAACTTAAAATATCGAGGCCGGTGAGTGACGAAACGCCTGAGAAGGAGGCAGGTAGGGCAGATAGGCGAGGCATGCCTTGAAGCACCAACTCCTTGAGGCTTTTCAAGCAGCCGAAGCCGTCTAGCAGTAGGCTGCCTCTAAAGCCTTTGGCTTTTATAATCTTGAGAGTTTGGAGGGACGTCAGGCCAGAAAAGGATGGAGGGAGGTGGGTGAGAGATGAGCAGCGGTTCAGACGGATACAGCACAAGCGGTGCAGACCGTTCCCCATGTTATCTGACAGCGCGGTGAGGCCCGTGCACTTCTCAATCTCCAGGCGCTCGAGAGAAGATAGCTGGGATAGGGAGTCCGGAAGTTGCTGCAGCTGCCTACACTCCTCTATTTTCAGCTCCCGGAGGGCTGTCAGCTGTCCGAGGGATTCAGGCAGGCGTGTGAGTTGGTGAAGGTGTTTCAGGGTCAGCGTTTCCAGACCTCTCAGCTGCCCGAACTCCTCGGGCAGAGAAGGCAAGGTCCAGAAATCAGTTAAGGAAACTTCTTGGAGCGTGGTAACCAGAGCGATGGAATGAGGAAGACTTGTGAGCTGCTTCATATCCAGCGTGAGTGTCCGCAGCTTTGACAGCAGCCCAACATGGTCAGGTAGAACTGAGAGTTGTGGCATTTCAAGGGTGAGACTGGTAAGTGAAGGCAGGCGGAAAAGCGTCTCGGGCAGAGACGTGATATCGCTGCAGCATTTGATCACTAGAATCTTGAGCCGCCACAGATGCTCTAGCGCCTCGATTAGCCCGCGCAGTCCGGTCACTCCTTCCAGACAGACGGATTCGAGCCTCCACAGCCGAGGAAAATCGACGGGTGACGGGAGAGGAAAGTCGCATCCCCTAATCTCCAGGACGGTGAGAGAAGGCAGCTTGGTGAGGGAAGCAGGCAGGTGCAGCATCGGGCAGTGGTTCACGGATAGAAGGTTCAGACTGGTAAGTTTCTCGAAAGATTCTGGAAGCGACGCCAGGGAGCGGCAACCGTCCAGCTTGAGCGACGTTAAGAGAAGCAGATTGCCGAGATCTTGAGGCAGAGCCTCGAGTCTGTGAGCGTGCAGCTCGAGGCTTCTGAGGGAGTGCAACAAGGTCAATGTGTCGGGAAGCCGCATTACGGCGCTTGCCTCGAGATGCAGGTTCCTGAGCAAGGTGAGTCGGCCGATTGATGGAGGAATGCCAGCGTTCATCGAACACTCCAGATAGAGATCTTCTAGTTGAGTACACTTGTCGAATAGGAACTCCAGGCTCTGCTCGCTTACGCCTGTGCGACTGTATATACTACGTTCCATCGACTCAACACGAAGCTCGGTCAGATGAGGACACAAGTCTGCGAGGCGAGAGAGTAAAAAATCTGCAACTGCGGTGAGGGTGTTGCTTGGAAGAACGAGCTTTCTGAGGTTGGGGAACGACGCCAGAGGTTGGACGAACCGACGCGGATCCATGAAGAGGTTGGAGGGCAAGCGGATCTCATGTTGCAAGTGGTACGCAAGGCGACGCCATTGCTTGCTAACACCTGCATGCTCCAGCTGACCATCAGGTCGAACCAGAAAACGCAGGATCTGAGAAAGCAGCTCCTCCGGTAGCCGTTGGATAGGCGATTCAATTGCCATTTTTAACGAGGGACTAACAAGAGATTAATGGCTATTCATCCGCCTTCTGTAAGCTAACACTGCCAACAAGCTAGACCAGACAGAAAATAGAAGCTAGGCCAGACAACCCAGAAGAAATGGACTAGGGAGGATCAGTTTGCACAATGCAATCCCTCGGAACTGAGACTCCTGGATTGTCAGTGGAACCGTACTGCACCGCTCAATTTATCAAACCGTTTCCGCCAAATTATTTCATGTTCAGAAGATTTGCGAACATCGGACAGCAACACAAGTCGTAGCGAACTCCCTTTGTTCGTGTTGACATGCGGACGTGTTGCCCTAAACGAGACAACAACCGGGACCGCACCCGTTAAAACCGCGGTGCAGATATCGCTGCGCCAGTTCAAAGTATTATAGCTTGAAGGGCGCGTTACCCAGTATACACTGGAAGTCGAGGAGGAAGAGCCTTCTGAGAGCGGGGGAAGGTCGTGCGGAAAAGTGCCTCGCAGCATGATGAGTGGGGGGGAAGCTGGGGAGGGCTTGCGGAAAAGCACCGCACAACAGCATGAAGGGGGGGCCAGGCATCAAACTTGAAACTTGAACTCAAAACTACTCAAACTCGGCAATCTCTCACGCAAGGCTAGGTTACTACTAACTTGAAGTGCCTTCTCGTAGGGCTACTGAGAGCCATTCGCCTCAGATCTATCCCTCTTCTTCGCCTCTTAGTGTGCGCTCGAATATCTGCGCTATTCCATACCTCAACAAGACTCTACGTTTACGTCGGAAGGGTTGCGTATAGTTGTATCCTTTGTATTAGTGTTACGAGTGCAATTGAGTGAGCGAGCGAGAATTGCACTATCGAAGCAAAAGTACAAATGAGCGAAGGCATGAGCGAAGAATATATAGCGAAACTACAGTGGTAACGGTAATGGACTGTGGTTGTCGCGTGACGGGCCTGGGACTGAGGTTGGGAAAAGTGTCGAAGCGGAGGCCCGGAGTGCGGGTTACCCGCCGAGCCGTGAAGTCGGGGTGCGACGTGCGAAAGTGGCGGGAGGATTGTCGATGCGAGAGTTGCGAGTGGTAACGGTGCTAACTGTGGTGCTACAGTGATGTACGCGCTGAGCGGGGACGCGAAGTAAGGAAAAGGATTTTTCCTTACACTACCCCCCCCCCTAAGGAGGTCCTCCTTACGAAAGTGCGTGTAGATCCCTGAAGTTTCGGCTGCGCAGATACTCGGTGAGGACGGGGTGGTTTTCGATTCTATCCCGGGGAACCCAGTTGTCTTCGGTGGGTGTACGGTCTTTCCAGCGGATCAGGAACTTGATCCTTCGGGCTCCTCGAGGATCGCGAACTCTGTGACTCAGAATTTTCTCGGGGGTGATGATTGGTTCAGTCGGCGGTCGTGTCATGCTGGCTGGGCGATTTCGTGGGAGTTGGCTTGTGGACGGGACGTAGGGGCGAAGCAGGCTGACGTGGAACGAGGGGCTGACGTACCAGTCAGCGGGGAGGAGGAGGTGGGCGGTGACGGGTGTGATCATGTGGCTGATGCGAAATGGTCCACAGTATCGGGGACGGAGTTTTGGGGTGATGGGCAGGCGGAGGTTCTGGGTGTCAAGTAAAACTAGGTCGTCGGGCTGGTAAGTGACAGGTCTGCGGTGGCGGTCGGCGTTGCGTTTAGCGACGATGTTCGCTTTTTTTTGTTGCGTCTGCTGCCCGGGTCCGTGCTGCTTGTAATATTTCGGCGAACTGTTGTGCTCGTGGGACTGGGTTGTCGGGATTAGGGGTCATGGGTACTGTTGGGTCTTGTCCGTAGTTTAAGTAAAACGGTGACTGTTGGGTCGTGGCGAAAGACGAATTGTTGTACGCGGACTCGATGAGTGGCAGTTGCTGTTCCCAGGTGGTCGGGTCGTCGCACGTGGCTCGGATGAGTTGTTCCATGGTCTGATTTGTCCGTTCTGTCTGTCCGTCGGTTTAGGGGTGGTACGAAGAGCTGAACTGTAGTCGCGTGCCAAACTGCTGCCACAGGTTCCGCCAGAAGTTGCTGGTGAATTTCGTGTCTCGGTCGCTGATGATCGCTGCTGGTATCCTGTGCAGGCGTACGACGGTGGCGATGAAGAGGCGGGATGTTTCTTCGGCTGTGATCGATTTCTTGCAGGCTGCAAAATGTGCCATTTTCGTCAGTCGATCGACGACGACCAGGATCGCGTCGTTCCCACTCGCCCCGGCCGGTAACCCCGTGACGAAATCCATCGTCACCTGCTGCCAAGCACGCTCTGGGGGTGGTATCTGTCAAAGAACGAGGAATGATTGACTAAGGAATGAGTGTGATACAAAAATGAAACCCTAGAATTGTGTACCCCTTAGTATCTAACCCGCTACAGCCTACACAGGCTAGATCATATAAGTTTGACACACCCCCATAGGCAAAGTGGGGGAGAACAAGGGGTCACAAGACCAGTCAAGCAAAGGAAAGCAAAGCAAGCTCAGGGTGGATCATAACGTCACCACACATTCCGAGCACAAGTTCAAGGCCACAAGGTCAGTTCACATGCAAGATTATATATAAAGGTAAACAAGCAAGCGCAGGTATAGATAGATCACAGTACAAGCAAGGTCAAGAAGTGAGCAAGTGAGGCCAAGTAGGCACAAGACCTAGCATCGTACAAAAGCGCTGATGATCACAAGGCGGAAGTGCCTTGGTAAAGATATCAGCAGTGTTGGCCCGAGAGGCCACGTAAGCAAGGTGCAGCTGACCACGCTGCTGCAGCTCACGAGCAAGGAAGTAGCGAAGAGCAATGTGCTTCGTTCTGTGCTCCAGTCTGTGCTCCCGACACAAGGCCAGCATGGCCTTGTTGTCTACGTACAGAACTGGAGGAGAACGAGGCGGCTCTCCTAGGTCAGTCAGCAGGTAGGTGAGCCAGCATAGCTCCTGTGCAGCCATGGCCCCTGCGTAGATCTCAGCCTCACAGCTGGAGCCGAGAACAGAAGACGAGCGGGTAGACCGCCACGAAACAGAGCCGGAACCAAGGCTGAAGGTGTAACCCTGTGACGACCGCTGCGTAGCCTGGTCGTCAGCCCAAGAAGCGTCTGCGTGACCAGTGAGGACCACTGAACGCCGCCCTCCAAGCACTAGCCCCATGCCTGACGTACTGCACAAGTAGCGCAACACCCTCTTCGCTGCAGCCATGTGCTCTGGTCGGTGTCTCCCAGGAGCAACATAGCGTGCCAAGATGCTAAGAGGGTATGCAAGGTCAGGTCGAGTGCAGGTCATCAGGTACATGAGGCAGCCAACAAGCTCTAGGTACGGGCCACTCGGCTCTACGGACTCATCCGAAGGCAGAGCTGAGAGCGAGTGGCGAGTAGACAGAGGAGTGGCCTGAGGCGAGGAGTACGTGAAGTCGAAGCGCTGAAGGACCTGCTGCACCATGTGTGACTGAGTCAGGGTAATGGTGCGCTGT